AACTAAGAGTTTTGTGTGTGTGTTGGTGTGAGTGTGGTCAGTGGATAACGCTCTGCTGTATCCGTTTTCACCTTGCGCACACTCAGGTACTCTTCACCGGTTGGGTCAATACCCTTGTCATCTCCCCCAATTGTGCCTCTGTCTTCTGGGATTCCATCTCCTCAGACTAGGATGTCATCTGTCTCTGCAATGGTATCGGTCTTATAAGATAGTGGGCAGTTGTCATTGAGGTTTGACTGGGCCTCTTCCTCAACAGGGTCTGCCCAGGGGTCAGACTCAATGGTAGGAGTGGTAGATTCCTGGAAAGGCGAGTTGGGGGTGGTGGTTCTGACAAGGGTGTCAGTATGACTTTCCCCCTCTATCCTTCTTCATTCCTCTACTGCTTGTGCTCAGAGGTAGTGCCCAAAGAGGGTATTCTCTCTCATAATCTCATGGTCGATGTGTGCCTGCTCCTTCCTGTGCTCAGAAACATGATAGGTATGTCAAACTTAGTTCTCTCTAGGGAGGACCATAGTGGCAGGGTTGGCTGGCCATGTTCCTGCTGGTACTGCTCATGCACTTTCTGCTCTGCTAGTATAACCACTAGCTTGGCCATGCTCCATCCAGTCAGCTTCGATGGTAGTGGCCTATCACCAGTAGTGCTTGTCACTATTATCAGACTAATACTGGTCATTTTCAGCTCTGGCTCTGCTGCTAGTTCTTCTGTTGTTTGTGGATATGGTAAATCGAGACTCATGGCCTCTGGAACCTTGGGTCTCTCAAGCCATCCATAGGGCATCCAGGGAGTCTCTGACATGGTGTTCAATGCTGGTGCTAGAAATAGGAGTTGCTGTCTTGGTTGCTAGGATACTGTGCTGGGGGGATAGGATAGGAGTGTTGGGTCTGGATCATCAAAACCTCATAGCCCAAGAGTTTTCAGTGTTTTGGATGACTGCTGTTGGGGGTTGTAGGAGGTATGTATGCTGCTGATGCTGCTCCTCTTCTTCCCTAGGATGTTCCTGAGCCAAGCTTCCAGAGACGTTTTCAGGGTCTGTTCCTTCTATGGGTCAGAAGGACTGTTGGGTAGAGACAGGGATGTCATGGAGGAGGAGGTCTGGTGTGACATTTCAGAGGATAGTTTGAATATGTTGGAATTTATGATAGTGTCTGATTGTCCAAGCTATGATTGATTGGTGTCCATGGCACAGCTGTATGATCACTAATAAACTGATCAAGATTCCTATAATAGATGCCAGGAGTTCAAAGAACTTGTGAGTAAAGTTTGGATCAGAAGAGTTAAGGGCAGATGGCATTCAGTTTCTCAGCACAATTGGGCTTGAGAAAGGGAAGCTAGAAGCTTTAAGCTAATTGTTAAGTCCAAACTCTATGTGACTATCAACATGTGATAAACAGTTCAGAACCTCGCACTTCAGGTTAGACTGACTGAGTTCACTGATGTGTCAATAGATGTGTGTGGTCAAGGCAGTTGCAAGTTGCTCAAGATAGAATGGTAGAAAATAAACTTTAGCTCAAAGCTGGGGTATTACAGTGAGAGCTACACTACTTAAATACTGTTCTGTTATCAGGCTATTAATAAATGTTCACAAAAGATATTGTCTATTGTAGAGCTGTTACCTCTGCTGTTGCCAGTCTCTCCACAAAAGCTGTTGTCGTGCTGTTATGCTGTGGTTGCTGCATAGCAATTGTAGAACAAAAGGAGTAGCATTCTCTCTTCATAGTGCACAGCCATGATAAGACAATGACTGACTGGGTTGGCATTCCCATGGTTCTAAGCACTGGCCTAAGCACCCTGACTAAGCAAAGATAGGGGTCATTTCCAAAGGAAAAAAGGAAGAAAATAGGAAAAATCATAACAGTCTGCTGCATCCTCATTGCAAACACCTGATGCTCCAGTTTCTGTTTTTCTTGCAATAGCATGCTATAACCCCCTGGGACATAAAACAGCCCTGGAGTGTCTGTAGCATTTATCACCATATTCTGGCTCTGCAACTTGCCAGCTTTTATATGTGCATAGTATTTATCAATATGCTCCTTCACATACTGTCCTCTAATATCTTTGGGGATCTCTCCCCCATCTGGTAGTTATGCTCTTCTATCGACTATCTCTATTTTTCTGGCCTTGATGTATAAGGCTTTCATGAGGCACTCACTTGAGCAGTGGCCATCTGTATCTCCACAGAAAAAGCATTCATGCAAGTAATTCTGTCTATATCCTATTGCTCCTGGATCTGAGTTATATGCTGGTGCTTGCACTCTGTTAGCCTGCTGCTATATGAACATCATGAGACTCTTCTGGTTCTCCATCATAGCTTTCTCTAAGCTTGCAAGCCTTTTATCACTTACAGAGGTCTGCTGTTCTATAAAATCCTTCATGACAGTGAGCACACTCTCTATCTCTTCCTGTTTCACACCGTGCTCTTCTACCATAGGTGAATTGCATGCAGCTATAGTTGACTGGTGCTGTTCACATGCAATCAATATTGAGGTTGAGATATCTTGTGCCTCATCTTGCTTTCTGTCTATGAATGAGAATACATCTTGCAGAGCTGTTAATCCAGCATCCATGATCTCTTTTAGTTTGTAGGGATCCACATTATCTCACCTTGTCAATTCTGTGAGTGGTGGTAACCACTCTAGCTGTAGCTTAATAGATCTGTACAGCTCATCAGACATAGGTGCATGAAATGAATCCACTCGTTCTCTGTTTGATAGTACTTTGCTTAGCACAGATGCAAGTACTTGGAATTCTCTTTTGAATGCCATAAACTGACTCTTGTTATTAATCTGAGCTATATCATAATGACATACTAGCCTTTTGAGTTCTAACATCACATCTCTATCACTGTCTCATGCACTATCATAACAGTCTAGTACTTCAGATTTAAAGTCATCATATTTTTCATCAGCAGCAAAGCTAGAAAGCACTTTCCACTGGTGCTCTGTCTTGATATCTGTATAAGATATTGCTGCTTTCTTTTTCTCCTCATCATTATTGACCATACACTTGTCAAAGAGGTCTTCTAACCTCAAGAAGAAGTGCTCAAGTTCCTTGGGATCAGAGAAACTCTCAAAGTGTGATGCAGCTTTTTCATTCAATCCTGGCATTGATAGTGCCATGATTGCAAACTCAATATTAGTTGGAATCATCAGATCCAGATTTTGGTTTAAATTAGGTTGCAAGTTCAAAGTAGAGGGTGGTACAATTTCTGAAGAGTTATCTTTACTGGAGTTGATCCAATGTCAAAAAAGACTAAACTCAGAATCAGAAACTGGAGCAGGCTGTGATCCTGCTTCACTCCTGTATTCCTGTGCAGTGAGCTCTGTTCCCAAAGTATTCTGACTCCATGATTGTAAGGTAAGAGGATAAATTGGTGGCAGATATATTCCACTCACTGCTTTCTCTGCTCTAGTTCTTGGCTCTTGAGTTTGGTTGATTCCAGCTATTCTGACTCTTAATAAGTACTCACACTACTAGGAAAATCACACAACATGTTTTCACTAGCTGTCTTTATGAGAAAGCATGCTAGCAGGTTTTCTCTAAGAGAAAGAAACCTTAGATAGTTATTCACATAGTTAAAACAATTGCACAAAGGAATCTCTTCCAAATCCAATCATATTCATTTAAAACTACTTCCCCCCCCTCATGGTGGGCTTCAGATGAAGAGGATCTGAGCATGTGCAAGGTGAAAATGGATATAGCAGAGCATTATCCACTGACCACACTCACACCAATACACACACAAAACTCTTAGTTTGTGGAGGGATTATAATGCAATAAAAGTAGTAATCCACAAATATAATTGTCTTCTTCAATGAGATCACAGCATGCAAACAGTAATAGCATGCTTACAACAGTCTGAGGTCTCTCTAAGCCTCAAAGCTTTTCATTTTATCAAAATAAGAGATGGCAACTGGTGTTGCCAGGCCTCAAGGCAAAGAATACTGCAGCTCAATACAATACATCAAAACACTCCTTCAAAACTCTCAAATGGTCTCAAGCACAGCTCAGATCAACTTAAATCTCTAACACACACAATACACAACTCAAAGCTTCATGCTCTAAGCAAAAACCAATCACAAACACATCTACAAGTGACAAAAAGCACAGATCTCTGTTCACAAGTTTCCAAACTGATTGTGGACCCACAGGATTCAAACCTATGTGATCCAGAGACACAAACACAATAAAACTCTGTTTGACAGACCAAAGGGTTTGAACCTCTGCCATCTGTAGTGCTGTGTATCACAAATACCTCAAAAACTCAAAATAATGCCCTTCAGACACTGCTCTCTTATTCTCAGGTTAGAGCACAATCCAAAACCTCTTATCAAACTGGGTTTAAGTCCTTTGTGAGCTTTGATGCCTCACTTAGTTCTCACAGCTCTCTCAAGGATATTCAATAATAAGTTTATTTTCTTGCCTGAAGTTACAAACACAAATCCAGAGCTAGAGTGCAAGGCTTTCTGTGCCCAATACATTACAACTGTGGAAGTCAGAAACTTGATCTCTACTCATACAATACTATATTTAAATACTCTACTAGGATACTTACTAATACAATCCTATTATAGTATCTTCAAAGTGTGAGACTCCATGCTAGATCCCATGGGTATTATTCATGTGCATATCACAGTTGTCACACTTATTCTCTTCTAGGCTAGGACTGCACAATGTTTCTTTGCTAGCTGGCCTTGGCTAGCTGGCCTAGCCCAGTCTGCTTGCTTTCTTCTTGCCTCAGTGCCACATCTCTAACAGCAGTAAACTGTTCTGGACCTCTGGAGTTATCTCCTATATTTGGAGTCAGCCTCAATAGTTATGTTCTCTTCTCTAGTGTCTCAACATTTCCTCTGGCTCATAAATTGCACCACTTCTGGCCTGACATGCATTAATTAATCTATCCAATATGGTATATATCATATCACAGTATGATGCAGAGTCTCTCACTATGTTAAGTGTGCTAAGGCATGGTAAGTATATGTGCAAGTCTGAGCAGTACACATGCTATCCATCTCTGAAGGTAGTATTCCTCTATCTATTTCTTTGTTGCCATCATGTCATTTCTCTGTTCAGCACTCTGTTATTCAGATACCTTTCTTTGGGTCTCAGTTCTCTGTTCTAAAGCATGTTCTATCAGTGCATCATTGATCAATGTGATCAGGATTGCTGATCATATTTCAATCATAGTCTTTTTATTTTTAGTATGTCCTCTTGTAATAGTATTGGTGCATTTAGGGCCAAGTGCTAGGACCTCACATGCAGCCTAACCCCTCTGGTATTGGTCTGTTACTAGGCCATGCACTCTGCTTATTGTTACTTCAGTTTAGCATTATGATAGCTAGGTTTCTGTGTGCTCTAGTCCTATTTTCTGTTACATGCTTACTGGACTAAAATGCAGTCCATATATTTATAATTTTCACAATTTTACATGCCTGAACATGGAGAGAGCATGTCACAGTCTATGTCCATCAGCTTTCTGGCTCCTGTATATGTTATTCCTGTTCCAGTCTTCTGGCTTCTATAGGTGAGGGCCATTGAGAGTCCTGATGATTTCCTGGCAGCTGTCTCTGACTTGCTCAAGGTTGGCAGGGTTGGCTTCTTGGTGTAGTCTTGTAGCATCAATGATTCCACTTTCTGCCTTTGTCACTCCTTGTACATCTCAATGATCTGTTCCTTTCATTTGTCATAGCTGACCAGCATCAAAGCTTTGATGCTGATAGCTGAGATCATCATAATGTATGAGGAGGGAACATCTCTCTTGAGGGCTTCGACCATCTGCCTATCATTTGCTATGTCATCCTGAATTCTGGCAAGCTTAGCAAGTCATTCCAGCTCATCAAAATAGTCTATAGCCACTTTATCACTCATCTTATATTCCTTGATCTTCTATTTGTGCATTTCTTGCATTGTCAGATCAATGAATTTATCATACAATATTTGTTTGAATACTGGCTATGAGGAATACTGATAGTGCTCCCAAATCAATGATCAGAAGTTCAGGGAAATTAGGATCTATCAGGTCTTCACCTTCTCTTTGAGATAAGAGGTGGTGAAGACAACTTTGTTTATATTGGTACTGAGATATTTGATATAAACCTTGAAGTATTGTTCACAGTCAACTAGAAATCAGTCAATATCATCTGATACACCCTTGAAGGAGTGGGGTTTCTGAAGCAGATTGGGCTGACATTAAAGGACAGCTGCATTTTCAGGTAAGACACCCATTGGATTGGGCTATTCAGAGAATAGGGGTCAATTCCATTCATGCAGGGATCTGAGGAAGAAATGAAGGAAATTGTCATCTGCTACTGAGCTCCTCTGAGGTGCTATGTTCTTTTAGACTATAACACCATTTTAGATGGTGAATCCTAGCCAGATGGCTTCTGAATCATTTTGTACTGGTTCCTTTCCCTTTCTGCTCCCTATTGCTTCATCTGACAGAGGTTGGGCTCCCAGGACTCAGCTTCCTCTGCTAGTCCATAGGTTTTGATATGAGCTCAGCTGTTCTTTTGACTGTAGACAGAATCAAGACAGCTGTGTTGCTGTAGAGGAGTGTGATGGTGTAGAGTATGAAAATATACTTCCCACACCTAAGATCATACCGACTGCATGCAGTCTAACTCCAGAACCAGAGATGCCATATCTCAATATTCCAGATGTTACCAATGTGGATAGAAAGACAGATCCATCAAGAAAATGGCCCAAGAAGACAGGGTTTATGCCCTATGTGGCTGAGGAGAAATCGGCTGCTTACTGGTTGAAAGCACCAGTAGAAGAGCACATAAACTCATCTGAGGTATTGGAGTGACTCATAAAGTCCCCCATAGCCATGACAGTTAGAGAATTGCTTGCTCTGTCAAAGATTAGCAGCATGATCAAACAAGAGTTGACTATGAAACAAGTATCTCTAGATAAATCTAAGAAAAATGGCAAGCAACAGTTTGAGCTAGTCATAGAGAAAGAATCAGAGTCAGAGAGTGAAGATGAAGTCACCAAGGCCCTTCCTTTTGCAGAAATGACTGATGATAAGAGAACTGGATTACTAAAGGATACTGTATACTTATCAGAGGTCTCATTTGAAGAAAACTTTGTGGTGACCACTGAAGCCAGCAATGGAGTTCCAGAAGGTGCAGTGGTCTAGCAAGACCCTTTTGAGCAATATCTGAATGATGTCACAGAGAAAGGAGAAGTCTCAAAGCAGGTCTATATAGCTAAAGACTCACAGGCTTTATGCTCTGTCTTCCCTTTTATAAATAGTGTAGAGCAGTTTGAAAGCTTGTATGATACAGGTTCACAAATTGTGTTGATGTCTAGCCAAGTAGCTGAGAGTCTGGGATTGATATATGATCCAGACAAAGTGATAAATATGCAATCTGTGAATAAGCAAGTAGAGAAGTCTCTCAGGATGGCAAAGAATATCCTATTCTTGTTTAGTGATATTATAGTATATCTACAGGTACACATCATTAAGGATTCTGCCTATAATATGTTACTTGGTAGACCCTTTGATGCATTAACAACAAGTATGGTATATAACACAGCAGATGGAGGACAGACTATTAAGATAAAGAATCCTAACTCTGCACAGTGTGCAATGGTACCAACATTCCCTAGAGGACAAAAGAAGTTTTTGATGTGTGAAGTAAGTGAGGGTTTTCAATGATCAATGATTTGATTAATGATCAAGAGATTTAGCACTAATAATAGAACCTAATCAGGATGGTGATCTGATGATCAGCACCTATGCAAAACCCACAGGATCACATGTATTTGAGAAAGAAGAATTACAGGCAGTATATGCTGTAGTGAGCTCAATGGTGCATGATGAGGATACAAGAGCATATGGGATTTTATCCTCATATTTTGGAGCACTTAAAGAAATAAAAGACATAAAAAGACAGGACAGAGGTGCAGAGACATGTGTGAGGGACATCGCATAGAATGTAAGTGAGGTATGATGCAAAGTGAGCTCAGGGTGATGCACAGAAATTAAACTTTTTGATAAAGTCAGCATGGAGTATTTTTCACCAGCAGTAGGATCGGTAAAAGATATCTTTGTGATGAAGAAATATAAGCCAGTAGCACAAAAGATATGACCTATTACAGGAGGATTACCATCAGAGTTCTGTATTCTGTGTAAAATTAGAGGAGACCCTTTGGCAAGCATGTCTCAATTGAGTACTCATCCACTAGAATATATGCTAACAGGAAGGTACATCCAAGAGTGCAAAGAGATAATTGACAGAGTCCACTCAGAAGACTTTCTGTGGCCAGAGGAGCACAAGCTTATGCATGAGTTTATGTGCCTGCAGAATGAGGGATTTGCCTGGGATGATACTGAGCAAGACCATTTTAAGGAGAAGTATTTTTCTTCTGTAACCATCTCAGCTGTAGAGCATACTCCTTGGATACAGAAAAACATACCAATTCCACCAGGAATATTTGATCAGATATGTAAGATAATAAAAACCAAAATTGATGCAGAAGTGTATGAGCTATCAAACTCCTCTTATCGCTTGCATTGGTTCTATGTGGTTAAGAAAGATGGAAAGAGCCTGAGGCTAGTCTATAGTCTGAAGCCCTTGAATGTGGTCATGATCAAGCACTCAGGAGTGCCTCCAGTGACAGATGAGCTAGCAGAGCACTTTGCAGAATATTCCTGTAGAGACACATTGGATCTCTATGTAGGATATGATGAGAGAACCTTAGATGAGGGATCTAGAGATCTTACCACATTCCAAACACCATTTGGTGCACTAAGACTCATGACATTGCCCATGGGATGGACAAACTCTGTATCAATATTTTATGATGATGTGACATATATACTGAAGGATGAAGTACCCCATATCACTATACCATATGTAGATGATGTTCTGGTATAAGACCTGAAAACATGCTATGAAATTAAAGGTGGAGGATATGAAACCATCAAGAAAAACTGAGGTATTTGCAGATTTGTGTGGGAGCACTTCCAGAATATGAACCATGTTGTACAGCACATGAAATATGCTGAAGAAACTTTCTCTGGTCATAAAGCTGTCCTTTGCACATCAGAAATCATGGTTGTGAGACACTGTTGCACCTATAAAGGCAGAAAACCTGAAACAGACAGAATAAGAGTGATAATATGATGGGAACCATGTGAAGACTTGGGAGATGTGTGCTCCTTCCTGAGAACAGTGGGAGTACACAGGATGTTCATTAAAGATTATGCTAAGAAAGCAGATGCTTTGATAAGGTTAACTCACTTAAAAGTACCATTTGAATTTGGAGATGAGCAGAGGGAATTGATGCAGATATTGAAGGATGCATTATGCTCTAGTCCATCTTTGATGCCAATTAATTATGAATTGGACACAGATGTGATTTTGAGAGTAGACACATCATACTGTGCAGTTGGATTCCATATCTGTCAAGTCAATCCAGGTAACCTAAAGTGAAGGAGATATGCATGCTTTGGTTCTATTGTTTTAAATAAGTGGGAAGCATGCTTTTTACAGCCAAAACAGGAGCTCTATGGACTATTCAGGGCCCTGCATGCTTGCCGACATTGGCTCTTTGGAGTGAGAAAATTGATGGTAGAGACAGATGTGAAATACATTGCTGGAATGCTTAGAAACCCTGATGAGGTTCCTAATGCTGCAATAAACAGATAGATAGAGTCTATCCTGATGTTCCACTTCACATTGGTACATATCCCAGATGAGAGACATGCACCAGATGGATTATCTAGGTGCAGTTTCCAGCCAGGAGATGAAGAATACTCAAATCCAAAAGATGAATATAGTCCACTAGAGGAAGAACCATGGGAATTCATCAATGAGACTGAAGATGAGGTAAAAGACATTGCAGAATTTAAAGAGAGAATTGACACTTGGTATGGCTTTGTAACAGTTGTCAGAGCAGTATATGACTTCCATGAAGATAAAGTAATACAGGAAGCCTTAGAGCATGGTGAAACACATGCCATACTGTATAACATGGGACTACTGCTCTCTGAGGCTGCTGAGTACAGTGACATAGCAAGTTATGATGAATCACAAAGGAGTGAGTATGCAAAGATGCTAGATAAGCAATTACCACAGGTAATTCAGTGGTATGAGAACCCTATCATGCAGATACCTGGATTTAATGATAATCAATATCAGAACTTCATAAGATATGTGAAGAATTTCATGGTGGATAAAGGAAAGCTATATAGATGAGATATAGAGTCAGAATATAAGCTAGTCATCTACTCAGAGAAGAGAATGTATATAATGAAAGCTGCACATAATCAGCTTGGACACTGAGGTATATATGCAATGAAAATATTGATTAAAGAGAGATTTTGGTGGCCAGAGATGGAGCATGATATCTCATAGTTTGTTAGCACTTGCAACATATGCCAGGAGTGCTAGAAGACCATCATCAAGGCACCCCCAACAGTGACCTTTACACCATCAATCTTCCAGGTATTATATACAGACACAATGCACATGCCAGAAGCATCAAACTATCACAAATATATTGTGCATAGGTGTTGCATGCTAACTAGCTGGATGGAAGGATGAACCTTAGTGAGTGAAACTGCACAAGCAATCACAGAATGGTTATTTGAAGATATCATATACCAATGGGACTGTATTTTCTTGATAATAATGGATAACAGCAAGCAATTCAAAGCTGCAGTAGCATATTTGGAATAGAAATATGGTATAAAGTGGATAAGAATATCTCCATACAACTTACAGGCCAATAGAAGAATAGAATGACCACACTGAGATGTGTGGCAGAGCTTATTTAAAGCATGTGGAGGAAATGAGAAAAAGTGGCATTATTACTTCATGCTAGTGATGTGGGCTGACAGAATCACTGTTAGAAAATGGATAGGATGCTTTCCCTTCTTTGCAGTTACTGGTGCATATCTAATATTACCACTTGATGTGCTAGAAGTGATATGGTTAGTTGAGTATCCAGAGAGAATTATAGAGAATTGGAAGCTCCATGGATTGTGCATGATAGCATTAGAGAAATATGCAGATAAAGTAGCAGAGATGTGCAATAATATAGATGAGAAAAAGAAACAAGATACATTGAAGTATGCAATGATGCATGCAAATAAAATTAAGTTCTATAACTTCAAATGAGAGAACTTAGTTTTAATGCACAATACACAGATTGAGAGCACACTGAATACAAAGATGAAACTGAGGTATCTAGGTCTCTTAGTTGTACTGGACTGCTTAAGTGCAGAAAACTACATCCTGACAGAACTAGATAGTGTGCTAATTAGTTCAAAGATTGCAGCATTTTGCATGATCCCATATCTCGCACACAATTCTATAGAAATTGATGATAAGGTCATGCACTGGCTGCACAAAGATTCAAAGGAATTATGAAAGATATTAGAGTCACCAGAACCAAAAGACAGATGGCCATCAAACTTCACTGAAGAATTTGAAGAATCACCAAATTCAAAGGTTTCAGAAGTGGTTAACTTAGATGAGGATTAGCACACAATGAAGACCTTCCATAAGCATATTATTGTGAGCAAAGACTAGAGATACACCTTGAGATATGGCATTTATGAGATGAAGAGACATTAAATACAAGTACAGAGATCTAAAAACTATGAAAAACTACAAGACTCAAATTATCAAAGAGAGCTAGGATAAACTCGCAAATAGAAAGCAGAGCTATTGAACACTATAAGAGGCAATCAGGAGGCTTCCTCTAAAATGAAAATCTGCTAGGAAAAACAATAATGTGCAAAGAATAGTAGATCTTGGAGAGTCTGGTGCATGTATTGCTAGGGGATGCCTCACTAGCCTTGGTCTGGAAGAGAT